GAATATATCAACCTGATAACCTGACCGAAGCCATGTACTTTCATTTATATAACAACATCTAATACATAAAAAGCCAGTGCATTTTGGTAGCAATGCATTCCAACAATGATTTTTATGTCATGTTGTTTAGCAACAAAAATATAGCCTAATAATGTTGTTAGTCTATGTACTGAAAATATAAAATGAAATATATATACATGCAACAAAACTGGAAAAAGTTCTTTGATTCCATTGATCAAAGAGGTTTGTTTTTTATTAAAAACATTGGTGATATAACAAAAAATACCTTAATTCAGAAATACTTTAAGTTTAATGTTGCACAGGGGCAATCACTCAAGGTTGTTAGTCTCAAACTGCAAAGCCCACACTTTTCTCATGGTCAGTTTTATGTTGGGTGCTACTGTGTTGGTATAAGTAAGAACCTTTTCCTCTTGGCAGCAGAAGCGAAAACAACTAATATATCAACCTAATAACCTGAGTGAAGCCACGTATTTTCGCTTGTTATCAATATAAGCAGCTTTTAATATTTTTTTGTTCAAAGAAATTTGATACTGAAGTAAAAATGAAGATATAAACAGCCACAGCATAAAATAAAAATATCAAATATAACAGCAACTAATTAAGATAAATAAAAGAAAAACATAGATACATTATGTAAGGAAGGTATATCAAATTATAAAATGTACATATTTTGTATTGAACACGAGAACTGGGAACATTTATACTTATATATGTACATATATTATGTTTCTGAGTACATATAATTTTTATATAATCAAGTAAACCACTGTTATCATCTGATGTTTTAACATCTTCAAAATATATACTTCTTTATACTTTAAAATGAAAAAAGATAATTCTAATAACAAATATCATGGATTAACTGCTGAAAGCTGGCAAAATATTGAAAACGAATTCACTTAATAATTGTTATAAAAACAAGTTAACTGCACATATATTTATTGCTTTTACATTATTCTTAATTTGTTCATTTCAGCTCAAAATCAGAGGTGTGTGAGAAACAGCATTTTAAATCTATCTTTTGTCAGAGCTCAATAAGCTATTTATTCAATATCAGAACTCATCAGTTTGGCTGTATGGTTGTGAGACAAAAGTTTCTATGAAACATTATTTATACATGTAGTATAAAACTTTAAATGTTGCAATCTAAATGCTGTAAACCACTGAAATATTGTATAAGCTAAAAATTATTATAAAACGAGTTAACTACAGATGTTTTTTTTCTTTTCCATATTCCTCTTAATTTGTCTATTATGGATTAAAATCAGAGGTGTATAAAAGATAGACCTGAAATGTTTTGTTTTTTTACACACCCCTGATTTTTCAGTCACATTGGACAAATTAAGAGGAATCTGGAAAAAAAAACTTCTGCAGTTAACTTTTTTCTAATAACCATAGCTTGAAAAAATAAAATTCAGACAGTGATATTTTAAAAACAATTTCTGTACTTGTTATGTGTTTGCTGTTTGTATATTACGGGCTTATAATACCTTGAGACAAACGTTGCTGTCATAAATATATATATATGTAATTTATAATAAGGTCTTTACATAATGCTGCTTTTGGAAAAATAATCTATCAGTTTAATATTAGTTTTGAACTGGCAACCACCAACACAACCTTTTGTTTTAATAAAACTACATGACTAATGTGTTGTCACATTGTCAACTAATCTAAGCTAAAAGGAAACTGTTACAAACTAGCTACAGTACTTGGAACTGCTCATGTTAACAAAAGTGTTATATATCTAAAAACTCATTTAGTTTTATGCTATGATCCATTCCAAGTAAAATGTTGGCACTTTTAATATCCCTATGAATCACATTATTAAGGTGAAGAAACTAATCCCTTAAGAACCAAAGTGAAATTGAATTTATTTCAGAAATAAATATTTTAAGATATCAGTATAATTTTAATTCAGTGTGCTTGTTGTGTCCAATACTTTGTGTGTGTATATATATATATATATTTGGGGACAAAAATACAAACATGAAGTCGGACAAGGAAATATTAATGCTTGTTTATACTGATAACTAGCAAAAGGACCCAGCTTCGATTGGGTTATTAGGCTGATATGCTAGCTTTTTTATCATCTGTTGTCTGGAGGAAAAGGTTCTTACTAATACCAACACTGGAGCACCCAAAATAAAGTGTGGGCTTTGCAGGTTGAGACCAACAACTGTGAGTGATTGCCCCTGTGCACTTTTAAGCTTAAATAATTTCTAAATTAAGGTACTTCCTGTTATATCACCAATGTTTTTAATAAAAAAACTAACTTCTTTAATTGATAGAGATTCTAAATTAAGAAATCAACAAATATTTTCCAATTTTGGTTTTCATATATTTCATTTTATATTTTCAATACATAGACTAACAACAATATTAGGTAGGCTATACTTTTGTTGCTAAG